CCCAGGTCAGAAACAGGTCCTTGTCTAGGGGGAATTCTCCATCATCCATCCAGGTCATGGTTGTCTTTTGTCCCAAAAGTGCTGCTTTTTTTGTGTTGTTGTTGTTTTTTGAAGAGGCAACTGGACTTTCTTTGTTTTTCTTGGAAGACGTTTCGCTTCTCGTCCAAGAAGCTTCTTCAGCTCTGGCTGGTTGGTGGGGGAATGTAATTTCCCTTCTTCCTCACACCCTTATTATTATTATTACAGGTCGTCCTTGACATACAACAGTTCATTGAGTGACCGTTCAAAGAGGGGGGATGGTTAGCCATACCCCAGTGAAACTTTTAAAAGGATAATTCTGAAAACAAAAGAGGGGCTGTTCCAGAGAGAGAGAGACAGAAGCAACTTGGAACTAAGGAGGAATTTTTGTCAGTGAGGAGGACAATTAACCCGTGGAATAACTTGCCCACAATAAGTGGCGGGTGATCCACCACCGGAAGCTTTCAAAAAATAGATTGCACAGCCATTTGACCAGGATGGTATATAGTTCCTGCCTTGAGCAGAGGGCTGGACTAGGAGACCTCCAAGGCCCCTTCCATCCCTGTAGTTTTAGGTTCCAACCACTCTTGCCTTCTTGCAGATCGGAATAACTGAATCTGGCTTGCAACACGCCATCGTCCAGAAAGCTCGGGAGATACAAGCTGTTGCAGAAACAATACCAGGTTACCTTCTTTGGATGTCTTATCTGTCCCCGGCTGGGGGGGGGGGGTGGTGGGATGGAGGAATGGGGGCATCCCTTGCTCTTGTCTGTACACGTCGGGTCTTTTGAACCAAAAGTCCAACCCATTTGGGAAAGTGGCAAGCCGTCTCAAGGTAGCCTGCGCTGAAACGGCAGGGAGAACTTGGTTAGGACACGGAGAGGAGGCCACCCAGCCATTTTAGGAAGGTAGCTTAGATGGAGGGTGGGAGAAAAATTCCCAAGGGACTTCTTGCCTAGTGAAGAACACAAGAGGGTCTTCCATGAGGGGCACCAAGGTTTGAATTCGACAAGAGAGTCCGCTTTCTTCGGAACGTGCAACGGAGATTCCTTGAGGAGCTTCTCCACCTTCTCCCAATCCCACCCGGTCACCCATTTTCTTCCTTGAGCCCCTCCTCACCCTCTGCCTGCCTTCCATCTGGTTGCAGAACTGTTGAAGCCAGCCGAAAAAACAGGGCAGTCCGCTCCGGAGTTTAGAGAAGAGTCCGCCAACCCCGAAGTCCCATCAGCTCCGCCAACGGAAGAACACCGCTGCGAGTGTGTCGTCTGTATGGAGCTAGAGGTAAGCCCCCCGGGAGTCCTTGTGGAGTGGGGGGGGGGGCAGGGGTGGGATTCCACCAGTGTTACCACTAGCTTGGGGGGCGACGTTTTGCAAAATCCCAGGCAGGGAATGTGGAAGCTTCCAAGTTAAAAGATGGCTTCCAAGGCTGACACCCAGCCTGGCTTGGCGTCTTTCTCCTTCCCAGGCCCAAGTCGTGTTTCTGAACTGCGGTCACGTCTGCTGTTGCCAGAGCTGCTCCGAAGCCTTGCGCACCTGTCCGCTGTGCCGACAAGACATCGTGCAACGGATCCGGCTTTTCCACAGCGGCTAGCCTACTCAGGGATGGGGAAAAAAGGGAAAGGGTTTGTTTTTTTTTCCCCCCCTCCTGGAGGAGAAACCTAGAGGGGAAAAGGGGAAAAAAAAGGAAACCCTGGAATTTCAGCCTTCCTCATTTTCGTTTTTGCACGTCTTGCTTGGTCGGAATGCCTGCCTTGTGTTTCCGAGCACTCCCCTCTCCGGTAATCCCGCACGCCAGACGATGGGGCAGGAAGGAAGTGCGCGCCGCGCCTTTTGCACTAAATAACGTACGCCGGTGTTTTTTCCCGCTCACTGTTGTCCGCGGTGCGGGAGGAGCGCGATTCGTTCAAAGCGTCCAGGCCATTGGGAAGTAACTGAAGGGATGCTCAAAAGGCAAGCGGGATTTTCTCGGTTTGCTTCTTCGAAAGCGTTTCGCTTCTCCTCGTAAGAAGCTTCTTCCAGAGTCTTGGATGAGAAGCGAAATGTTTTCAAGGAAAGGGATTTAAAAAAGCCAAGAAAAATCCAGTTGTCTTTTGGGTCAACCATGACTTTGGACGATGGAGAAATCTCTTGTAGAGTTGGCGTTTAACCCCTTGAAGGAATTTAAGGCAGGGATGGTGACAGGATCATCCCAACAACTACCCTGTTTCCCCAAAAATAGGACCTACCCTGAAAGTAAGTCCTAGCTTGATTTTTACACACGTGCCCAATATAAGCCCTATCCCCCCCCCCCAAAAAAAAATAAGCCCTAATTAAGATCCTGCCCACTCCAGAGTATACAGGTAAAAATTAAGCTAGGGTGGGGATGTGAGGATGATGAAAGGGCCTTTATTTTCGGGGAAGCATCGTATCAGTGGGCAAAAATGTCAAGAGGAGAATCAAAAGTGCCCTTGATACAGGGAATCTCAACCAAGCTACTAGTCCTCACTGAAATGATTTCAAGCCTCCCTGGCCAGGGGTTTTGCCAATATCTTCCTGTTCACATTTGGCAACTGAGAGGAGGAGCGGTTAGCAAAACATTGGAGGGGAAGGGAAGGAAAAGGTCTCTTCTCAGCTCTTCCCCAAAGAGTGGAGGGATCTCGCCAGCCAAAGATGGCAGCCTGGCAGGGACCGCTCCCTTAAGAGACGAAAGCCGAACCCAGGTGGCCTGAAGGCAGGCTGGGTTCCTGGAAAGGGGGGCCCAGTTGGGTGAGAGGCCGTTCTGCTTGGCAAGCATGCAATTCAACGCTCGGTTAGTTAGTCAGGAAGTGGACTTGAAGCCCTGGGCAGCCTGCTCTCCCCCAGAAAGTGGGCCGGTGAGGTTCCCATGAGGACTGGAAGCTTTGTTCTCTACCTGCTGCCTCCTGAGAAATCTGCACTTTTCTTTGGACTGAACCACTCACCTTCATTCTGGGGGTGCTTGGAAGGGCCTTTAGTGTGTGTGTGTGTGGGGGGGGAAATGTTCTCTGCCCACCTCTCCCCTCTTTCTGGGACTGCACCAGTTGGGAGAGTCCAGATAGAACAGAGGTCTCCAAACTTAGCAACTTTTAAGACTAAGTTGAAGTCCACAAGTATTAAAGTTGCCAGGTTTGGGGAGCCCTGAGATATAGGACCTTCCTGGTTGGATCTGCTGTCTTGAATCTTTAGCCTTGAGGAGGATGGGAGTTGAGGGGTCTTCCTTTCCATAACTGGAAAGAAAGGGGGAGAAAAAAATGCTCGTAGAGCAGAGAGGTCCAACTTTTGAGGCTTAAAACGTCTGAAAGCCAGCATGGGGCATTCTAGGAGTTGAAGTCCCACAAATCTCAAAAGTGGCCAAGGTTGGATACCCTGGGCTGTAGAGGGCGAGGGGATTGGGAACCAAACTCCCACCCTTAGCCCTGACTGTTGCATCAGTCTTCCTAGGAAAAGGAATGGCAGAGGGGCATCTGAGGTCACGAGTATACAAGGACAATGGTTCTGTGTTGGTAAGGGGAGGATGTGTATACAAAACTTTGGACTCTCATCCCCAAGTCAAGACCACATGTGGCCTTGACTGCAAGTCGGACAAGTTCTGATGATCCTCTCACCCATGTTCCCCGTGGAGAATCTCTGGCCTTTGCTGTTCCAGACAGAAGCCTTCTCTAGCTGTGTTTCTTCCCCATTACCTCGTTTTGGGGTGTCTTGGGTTGTGTGTGAAAAGCCGTGAAGGAGGGAGAAGAGCATCAAAACCCATCACCCAGCTGGAGTTCTTTCCAAAGATCACCCTACTTCCTGCATGTTTGTCTGGTGCCTCCATCGATCTGTTTGCAATGTCATGTTTTCTGTGTACTTCAACCGAGAAATAAAATTCCTGAGCTTCAACTCGTTGACTGTCCTTCGCTGTCCTCCAAGACTGTTGTTTCCTTAAACCCTCTTAGTTTTATAGCAGGACTCCAAAATGTTATTCCCCCTGTCACGTCAATGAAGACTCAATCATCCAGGGCCGAAAGTATTGGAAAAGGTTACATCGTTTGCAACTGGACCAAACCGTATTAAAACGGAGATGTTTCGTTACTGATCCTTCATTCCGATGACTTTCTGGCTCCCCAAATGTTCATTTTGACTAGGTTACTAGGATGAGTAACGAAACGTCTCCGTTTTAATACAGTCTGGTCCAGTTGCAAACAATTTAACCTTTTCAGGTGTTTAACCTTTTCAGATTTTATTAGTCACACACCCATCCTTGAAAGCAGTAAAATCAAGTTCGGGACATCTGCAGGGTAAGGTGAAAGATTCTTTGGAGGGGACAGAAGAAATAACTTTAAAAAACAGCTTTGCATTTTATAAAAGGGTAAACATGTCCCAAATTTGGTTAGGACAACTGTCCTACACAGTGGACTTTCAGCCAACTGGAATGTGACATCTGGCTGAACCCAAATAAGACTGAGCTGACGGCCCAACGCATACTCCCCTTGGCCCAGCCAATGGTGTGGGTTGTAGACCAGAAAAGTGGCAAGTCACCTACTCTAGGTTAAAAAACGCATCCAATGACTTGGCAGCATCTCAACAACTTGAGCAGGGCCAGTTAGAACAAAAATGGATGCTTTTTATTATTATTTAGCACGTGATGAGAAGTAAACATATTGACATGGTCCACATTAATTATCTATAAAACATCTACAGGGGTAATAAGGCAGTGGCCTCCCAACTGGGTGTCCAGTTCAGCTCTCCAGGTGTTGCTTCGTGCAGATCTTTTGGGGAGCCAGAGGACAAACCTCGTGGGGCAGTCTTGCACGTTGTACGTTTAACAGTCGGCATGTCAGCACCACAATCGCAACCAGGGGAAACCCATCCCCGCCGATACAAGGCAGAGGCCCTTCTTCCAGTGTCATAGCTAATTCTGTTCGGTTTCGCCCAAACGGAGTAAGAGTGGGGGGGGGGAACACACTCCCACATCCCTTTTTTTTCAGCACTGTTGTAAATGGGTCATCAAACCATCTGTTTTAAGTCAAGGACTCCCTGTGCTTTCGAGGCTCTGAAAGATCAAGACAGGGAGGACAAGTTTGTTGAAGGAGCTACAAATGAGGAAGTCCACCCGTGTCCTTAAATCACTGTGAATACTGGAAATTACTCCAGGAATAGCTTTTGTGGGGAGTTAGGAGGGCTATTTTCATCTGGCACGGTCACTGCCAGTAAACTCCCACAAATATTGAGTTAACAAGTCATTGATTAAGGATTAAAGTTCAGAGAGGCGAGGGTGTGGAGCGAGACCGGTTTTTATTTGCTGGTCGCTGGTCCTCAACTCCTTTGTTGACTGGAAATCTCAACCCACTTTCAGCTGATTATCCGGAAGAGTTAAGAGCGTCCTGGCATCTCGGACTTGAGCACAGTCAAGGCAGGTTGAGTGCTTCAAAGAAACACTACGAAGGTGACCAGCAAGGATCTTCAGAAAGGAACCGTCTTGAGTTGAGGGCTGTAGGAAAAACCCAACTGTCTTGAGTTGAGGGCTGTAGGAGAAACCCAACTGTCTTGAGTTGAGGGCTGTAGGAGAAACCCAACTGCCTTGTGTTGGGGCTGTAGGAGAAACTCAAGTGCCTTGAGTTGGGGGCTGTAGGAGAAACCCAAGATTCCTAGAGTTTGATCTCAAGTCCTGAAGAAGACATGGCCCTCCTGTCCTCTGCCGATGGCTGCGGAAAAGAATGCAACATCTGCTATGAGTTCTATCAAGAGGTTTCCACCAGGCGGGTACCGAAGCTTCTCTGGTGTTCTCACACCGTCTGCCTCGCCTGTCTCAGGAAACTGGTTTGCCAAAGCAGAGTGGTCTCCTTCGTGGTCTGCCCTTTCTGCCGGATGGTGACCCTCGTGCCCCAAGGAGGCCTCCAGGCCTTGAGAAACAACGAAGCCCTCCTACGAGAGATAGGACCACCAGGAGCGGAGGCGTCCCAGGCCACCTCTGATGATGGTTTGGAAGAAGACAAAGATTCCACAAGAGTTTCCAACTGGTCCTTTGGCAATGTGGCCCTGTCTGTGGAGTATACCTATAGGCCCACTTCGCCCATCTTCACCGTCAGCAGCATCGTTCCGGTGTTTTCCACGGGGTTCCATGCAGGGATGTGGAGCGGGCTCCGTCAGCAGGAGATGCAAAACGCTGTGGTGGTAGAGATCCCTCCAAGGACATCCTCAGCTCCTGCGTCTGTGGAGAACCTGCGCATTTGCTTTGCGATGACTCTGATCCTTCTTGTGGTCTCCATCTTCTTCACGCTAGTCTTTTCTTGAGCAGGGAACGCTTGATGCATCACCGTATCCCAAGAAGGGCTTCGGGCCTTGAGGGACAATGAAAGTCTACAAGAAATAGGACCACCAAAAGGAGAGGCATCCTAGTCTGATCTCAGCCAGAAGGAAGAGAGAAGGTTCTATGGGCAAGATGTAGCTGCTGCCACAAGGACCCACATCGTGCTCCTAGATTTACTTTCCTCTCTTGCTTGACCATTTAGAGGGAGACCTCAGGACTCCAGCAGTGATGAGGTCGCCTCTGTCAATCTATTGCTCTCTTTCTGGCTGCTGTTGTGACTTCGCACAATTATCTCCTTGGCAAGCAGAAATGACAGTAGTTCCTAATGGTGATGATCTACAATTCTTAGGAGCCCCAGCGAGGCATAACCAAGGGTGAAGGAAGATGTGGATTAGCATCAGCTAGCGGGCTCTGGTTTTTATAGGGTATACAATGGATGGGTGGGTGAGTGGGAGGGAGGGAGGGGAGGGAGGATCAGTGGGTGGATGGATAAATGGATGGGTGAATTAGTAGATGGATGGATAGATGAATTGGGGGATGGATCAATAAATTGGGGGATGGATGGATAAATGGATGGGTGAA